GATTCCTAATGGAAGAGAGAAGAAGAAGAGGCAGATGCTATCAGCGTGCTTGAATTGCCTCGCAGCCAGATCAAACATCCTAAAAGTGCAGTGAATGTGGAATCATGCCGTGAGATTGTTACGCATTTATCTCCTCCGTTGGTAATTGAACTTGCCTCTAAATGAAACCAACTGGCTATTTCAATGTAAACAAAACATCATTTGCATTGTGAATTATCAGCTTTGTGGCTTTTTTTCCCCCCAGTTGAAATAAAAAGCCTCAAATGGATGTTTTTCAGCCTTGTATTTTACTTTCCTCCAACCGAGCCACTTTGTGACACCATTAATCACTTACTTCTGTTTTTTTTTCTTTTTCTTTTCCTGTTTATCGAGTCGGAGACGAGCACAGATCCCTACATTTCCCTCATCATGCGTGAAAGCCTACGTGTTTATGTGTAAAACAGCAGGACCTTCAGGATCTCAGAGTAAAAAATATCTTGCTGCACCACCGTAGCATGCCAGAGGGGTTTTGATGGAGATGGAGTCATACTGAGCTAATGAAGCTCCAAACCTCAGCTATCGATCCACCTCACAACGGTGCTTCACAGAGATAACAGAGGAGGGGAGCAGTGTGTGGCATCACGCACGCTCTGATCTGTGTGACATCTAATTCTGTGTAATGAACCCAGTAAACCAGAGAGAATGATAGGGGGGCTTTCTAATGCAATGACAGGGGTAGCCTGGGCGGCTTTTGAAAAAAGCTTTGAAACACAGCTGGCTCGCTCACATGGCCCTCTTTCTCTCTCTACACACATATATATAGAGATATACATATATGAGACTACTTAAAATGATTAGTTTTTTACTCTTTGTTTGTTTGAGTAAAATGAACATTGGTCTTTTATTCGATGAGCTACTGATAACATGTCTTAAATTCCAAGCAAAAAGTTTAGTATTTATTTCCAGAAAATGAGAAATGGTCAAAATAACCAAGAAGATGCAGTCCTTCAGACCTCAACAAATGCTAAGAACACAAATTTATATCCATTTAATGTTTTAAGTCAGAAATCAATATTTGGTGGAATAACCATGAGGTTTTCAACGGGGCTCAGTTCAGTGGTATCTTAATTTTTTTCAGAGCTTTCTGAAAGATAATCTGTATGTAATACCAGGTCTATTATCTATAGATATTGATCACGTGTCAATGGCGTATGCAGAGGACTGTTCAACTATACGACTGCAAATTGCTCATGCATGTCCTGTGTTTGTAAAAAAAAGAAACAGCCCAAATCATGATTCTGCCATCACTCTGCTTGACTAAATGTGCATCTAAAAACCCATTTATACGTGCATTTAGATGCATCTAAATGCGTTAAAGGTCTGTTAACACATGTGAACCTGCTAAAAGGTTCACAGGAACTGGTGATGTTAATTAACTAGATTTTAAAGGCACAACTTGTCTCCTACCTGCACACTTGTGCCTAATTTAGCCACATGCTGCTTGATAGATAGAAATATAAGAGGTAAGATATAAGTTTTCCGTCCCTGTATGAACATATTGAACAAATTCTACTAATTCAAATAATGATGATTTATCCAGCACAGAAAGGCTCTGGAAATTAGGAGTTCAAATATTTCATTTTCCTGCTCTAAATTAGCCCTTTCACATCAAACAGTGTAATTTTATTCACTCTTAGTTTAGAAATAATGATAACCCCTCACTGAGACGTTTATTTGTAGCTGCGTAAATAAAACCGTAAAAGATCCAGGGATTTTATTTAATTTAGGAAAAAATTGTAGTGGAGATAATTACTCTTTTCACTGAGGCAGTGATGGTTTAAATTTGCTCTATCATTCCTGAGTAATAAAAGGTGTCGAAACCATCATGACACTCCCACTTATCCTAGCTGATTTAAATAGACCTGGGAAAAAAAAAGAGGCTTCTTTTTCCATGACCACCTCCACTGCTGGTGCAAATGAAAATGCCCTTCCCAAAATAGATCATTTTTACCCTTCAGATGTCCACTTTTATTTTAAGCCTGGCGACACCATGCCATCCATCACACTCAGCCTTTCAGATGTGAGCAACCCTGGGGAAAACACTGATACTATGCTGGGTAAGTGTGATAGCTTGCTGCAGCCGAGTTGCTGGCTTCTCTATGGTTAGATTACCACTGATTTAATCTCAGAGTAGCATTTAAATTTTCTTTCTCTGAGTAAAGTGGAAGTTGTTCCTCTCTTTATGGTAAACATTGAAAATGGATGCTCTCCCTTTTCAGCTCTTCCCTCAAATTACTAGTTGACGTGGCCAGATATCACTCTGCATTGTCGTCTGCCTGGAAAAATGCACATCTGGATGCTTTACTGAGTGTTTTGGCTGGGTGGGAATTATACAAAGTGTACCCAGCACTCTGATCATCTTGACCTGGAAATGTGATAGTCCCTCAACTTCACAGGCCTCCCTGACACCTAGGAAACTGGAGCTGGTAGTCTTGATACATGATCTGCACCACAGTACTAAAGACTAAACTTCTCCTGTTTCCTACTGGTGGTAATTTTGCACGGCTCAGACTTGCTTTTTTTTTTTTTCCCCATAAGCCAGTTGAGTTTAATTTGTTTCAAGTCTGGTCTGTATTTTACATTCATGAATAGAAGAAAAGCCACTCATGTTTTTGCACTTTATGTTTTATAAACCTCAACTATACTTTTGAGGTCTATAAAAAACTAACAATGTGAGTCAGGATTAGGGACGCTTCTCTCTTGCGTTGTTTCTTGCGTTTTATTTTTAAAATTTTTTTTTTTTCAAAACTGTAAAGACTATAGTTTGTTTCATATGTGTTTTTGTTTGTCTGAGCAGTTTGAAGTCATGAGCATTGGAGAATGTTTTGCAGCGTGTGCATGCAGACAGGGCATAAGGGTGTTAACAAGGAGAAAGTATTCCACTTTTTAGTTATAGCTGCATATAAAGTCTTGTAAAAGTATTGAACTTTTTCACATTTGTTTTGTTGCAACCACAAACTTTTTTCTGTTCTATTGGGATTTTATGTGGTAGAGTAACACAAAGTAGCACGTAATTGTAAACTGGGAGGAAGTGACACATTATACAAGTTTTTCTTCTCAAGTTTTTTTTACAAGTGATACTTTGATGAAATGTATTGAAAACATTTGTACTTTGTAAAACCTTAATTAGCTTATTTTTTCATCCACCTTGCACATCTAGAGGCGAAAGGTCATATTTCTATTTAAGATAGCTCAACCTTAGTCAGCTTGGATGAATAATGTCAGTGTGAACAGATTTAAAATGTATGTCCAATATTTTTTCAATTGGATTTACATTTGGACAAATCAGTGCATGAATATTCTTTGATCTCACAACTGAGAATAAATTTTGCATCAAATCTATTCACCTAGTTGTTGCAGTTGGTTTTATTTCAGGTTATATGAGTGAAATTGTAGAACAATTGAAAACCCACAAATAATCATTTATGCATACACTGCAAACGCTGACTCGGCGAAGTTGGGGAAAATGTTATGATGCATCAGTAATCATGCAAAGCATTGAATTTCTTCCGAAGTAACTTCAGAGTTTACCGTTCTTAGCAATTCAATGCCATGTCAGTCCTTCTAGGGACAGAGGCGGCGTAAAGCTGTTGCACTGCTTTTAAAGTTCACCACCCTTTCAGAACTGCCCCATCAAGTCTTCAGCCTTTGATCAGTGTTAACATAACGGCTAACCCTGACAGTTTATTTTCTGCTTTTGTCCAAAAAAGACCATTTGTGTCAGAGAACAATCTCCTCTTCCTCTGGCACATTGGCACACCTCAAAAGAAAAATGTCAGGGTCAGAGACGGGCCATTAGCCCAGAGTGGGCTCTTTTTTGTGCTCCCAGAACCCATTGAAAACACCTTTTTTAGTCTTCAACAGATGATACCGTGACACAGCGACGACGGGCTTGACCTGAACCTTGACATACAGATGTAAAAAAACAGGAAACACTGAAGCCCTGGGGAGGAATGAATGAATGACACGTTGAATGCCTCATAAAGAACGTACCTGCTTTGCATGGCTACATTGTAATACCTTGTATGTTAAATTAACGACGCGGTCACCCTCTATTCATGGGTATTATACCCTTCTTTTTCACTGAGGTCGCTCCTCTGTTGGTGCAAATGTCATAGCGCTTTAATGAGAGCACCACTGTACCCCATAATAAGAGCTTTTCAGGCAGATTAAATGTATCACTGTGCTGAAAACTTTCCTTTCCTCTCCTCCGCCCCTTTGGCCCTATTGTGACACAGTGGTTTTACAGAGCAGCTTGTTGCTGAAAAACAAGGTTAAGAAAGATCGGTATCAAAGGAGGAGTGTTTTTGTGTGGCTTGCAGGAGAGTCTCGCTTCAGGTTTCCACCTGAAACACAAAGGTGTTTCCTTACCTGATTTGTATTCATTCACACAATGAGTGGGCCTGCCTCTCTTGTTTCCAAGTAAGGAGAGTCCAGACGAGACTTTTGTTTGCCCCATCATTGGATACGTGCTTGTTGCTTCCTCCGGTACGAACCTTGGAGTCCAGCCACATGCTTTGTCGTGGATGGATTTTTTTTTTCCTGCTCTTTTTCCTCTTCTTTGTTGTTTTGTTTATGTTATAAAAAGCTCTTTCAGATCTGCATTTGAGCACTGCTGTTGATTTTTCCATCTTCAGGATCCAGTATTCTGGCAGTAATATCAAGCTATGTCAGCCAAACAACTGCAAACAGAGTCCAAACCCCAGCAGTTTTGTCATTTCATAACCTGCAACTGTTCAGTCTGTATAAAGCTTATCTGCATACTGACACAGTTTATATCCACTATATATTCTGGAAAAACCTTCAATATTATTTTGCAATTTTTCTTTACATTTGCCTCATTCCTATTCAATCCATCCATCCATCCATCCAAAAATGCAACATTTGGATGTGAAATATGTATGTAATTTTGTGCTCTGATAGTAATCCTTACTAACGTCTGACTTCTTCTGTTCTTGTAGGGGTTTTTCCTGACCGTTTCTCCAGATTCGATCCTTAAGGTGGCAAAGCATGCTTCAGAAAACAACAAAATCTTCTGCATGAACCTCTCTGCACCGTTCATCAGCCAATTCTTTAAAGAACCCTTGATGAAGGTGATGCCATACGTTGACATCTTGTTTGGCAACGAAACGGTGAGTGAACAAAAAAATAAACAAGTAAAAATACATTTAATGCCTCTTTAAAATGTGCAGCAATTAATTTAACCTCATCATTATCATCAGTAAAACTCAGAATGTTAGCATACTTAAAATGTTAATGCAGTACGCCAATCTATATAAAAAGCTTCTATTTTGTAAAACAATGTATTTTATTGCTGTTATGTGTCTCTGTCTTGGTAGCTGCATCAGTCCCTTCAGTATAAACTAAATCAGATTCATGATTTGTGGACCTATGCTTCTCCCTTTATTGCTTTTATAAATAAAATCATGGTCAATATAATTAAATTAAATAATTATAGTTAAATAACTTTTTTTTTTAAATCCTAATATCAATGTGAAAAATCATTGCTTTCTACAAAAAATATGAATTAAAGGCATGTAAACTAAATTCAATATTATAGTTTTTGTGACACATCTGACCACTGCAGTTTTTGTCCATTCTTCCCTCCAAAACAGCTCAAGCTCTGTAAGGTTGCTCTTTGATTGGACTGAGATCTGGACTTTCATTTTGAATTGTTTTTTAACATTTTTTCCCCCTCCAGGGTTTTTTTTGTGGTGTCTAGTGTCTCTTTGGGGGTAACGAGAGGGGGGAGGACATACGGCAAATATTGTTCGGGAGTCGAACCCGCAACGGCCACGTCGAGGACTCAAGGCCTGCAAATGTGGGTCGTGCTGTGCCCTACAACACCACAGCATGCCCCCATTTTGAATATTTTTTAAATAAGCTCAGAATTGCAATGGCCACCTAAAAATGTTTTAGAACAATTAGAACTGTGATCGCCGAGGCTGAATTGCTCCAGGTTTTTCTTAATTTCTTACCATTATTTATGTTTCACACTTGTAATACTTATCTGATGCCTTCTTGGGTTTGACCTTTTGTGGATAAAGTGAAAGGATCTCAACAATTATTGAAGGTATTGCTGTAGAATATGTTATTCATCCTTGACAGAATGAATAACAGCGACTCTGTGACCCTCATGACTTTCCAGGTTGACATTTTTTGATCTCGATAATTCTTCACAACCACGTATCTTTCAGCATAAAGGCTACCATTGTTGAAGTTCAAAGAGAGCTGGGCCAACTCTTAAAGGTGACATGAAACCACTGCAAACACCAAAGTCGCTCACTTCCCTTCAAGAAAAATAAGTCTTAGAATAGGTTTATAGATAATAGCTCTGTGCAGTGTAGGTTCACACGGAAAGATGTCCAGCACTTCCTCTTTTTGATCCATCAGTAGCGAGAATGCACAGCTTTCGCAATGCTTTGACCTCTTTACAGACTGACACTACAAGGGTTTGTGTCCTTGTTTTGTGTTGTAGCAGTTTCACAGTGTGCTGCTGTGGTAACAGCTGATTAGGTCTGCGTCTAAAGTGGAAATAAACCAAAACAACCAAATCTGATACTCAAAAAATGCATGGTTTAGTTGTGTAAAGTTTTAATGCAAGTAGAGAGTTAACATGTGGAGAACAGAAGGTTTGTTTTGTTTTTCCACAAGCATTTTTTTCTCATCTGGATTTAAAAAAGGCTTTTCCAAACACATAGCTTGAAGTTTTCCAAATTCTCACAAATGTCTGTTTTAAACTAAATTCGTCCAGAAAGTCAGAATATATTGATTAGAGTTTTTCATATACTCCATACAGGGATTGGGTGAATCCATTTTCTCCTCCTCAAATTATACTCTAAGAGTTGGAGTTTCTATCTGCTTATAAAGTCATGTGATATTGTCCCATAGCTGAATGTTTGTCATGCCATTTTATGGAACATATTGTTTTTTTTACCATTTTAAATTGAATCAAGCACTGGTTATTTTGCTGTTATTCCATCACAATCAAGCGATTTAAACATGTATAAACGATGGCTCACAAAACCATTCATTCCATCACAATGACATAAAATTCCTGATCCACAGAAAGAACCAGAGGAGTGTTTTCAGTTACTCTGGTAAGCTCTGTTTTTGCAAATTTTTCAGTATGTTGACACTTCCCAAAAAAATGCAGGCTTCTACACGAATGTTTGTTGAGGCTGTGGACCCCTGACAGCTGAATGCCAGTCTTCTAAAAGTCCACCAGACGTTGGGGAAACTTTTGGATTTTGTAACATGTTTTATTTGTTACAATGGAGATGGTTTATTGTTGTGTTTTTTCAGGTTTTGTAGTTGTTTGGAAATGATTTTGGGGGACTGACAACCAGTTAATGAGGCAGATTGATGCAACCACCAGCTTTAGGCTATGTAATTTCCTCATTGCTGAGGCATTGTTGAAACAACAACATACTTAAGGGTGACACATGAGCATTTCCGGTCTCAGTTGTTTTAAATTGCTAAAATCAGCTACATTTTCACAGGGATCCTCCTGAGAAATGTGCCACAATTTGAAGCAAATTACAGACTGGCCTCGCCATCTGTATATGTTTTGTATATATTTTGTACATTCTGGTTCACCAACATGCTTCTGTGCAAAACAGCAATCTTTTACATCTCCTACCATTCACTACTTACTCATAAAAATGACCCAGACATGTTGTCATTCCAAATAATGGGCCTTTTGGGAAAAAACTATTAAAATTATATGACTTAAAAATTAAAGAAGTGGCTCTAGTGGCCTTACACGTGGATGCCAAATGTTTTTTGCAGTGGTTTTCTTCATCTAATGATCATAGGTGCATACACAGGTTGATATCTTTATCAATATCCTTTTTATTAAAAATTATGAGCTCTTTACAGCTTTGCATTATGTTAACAGATGTTTGCACCTCTACCCATGTGGTGTAATGTCGCAAAATGCATTGCGGGTTACGAATGATATGGCCTGTTTTCGAGCTGTTAAAAATGCACTTACTTCACTAGATAAAGTCGCATTTGGATTTTGCAAGACAGAGTTCACTTTAATAAAGAATCTTGAGGCTTTTTAATATCCAGTACCACGAGATTACATCCCTAGTTACTACCTAATGTGATTTTCTGCAGAATGAGTTTAGGATCTACTTCAAAGCTGCTGTAAAACTGCACTGCAAGTTGAAAAAAAAACTGTATACAGAATGAGTCAACCCATTAGCTATACCAGATGAAGCTTAAATACTTCTAAAATTCGTCTATTTGTGATTTTAAAAGCAGAGTATTGGACCCAGCCGGCAGCATTTAAGGCGCTTTGATTTAAGGCTTTCCGCATTAGGCGAACATCTCCTCTCACTTTGTTTAAATCAAAACTCTGTATCCATTGTTTGATTTCCCTAATTGATCTCCTCCATATCCATTTAACGTCTCACTTATTACAGCCCCATAAAGAGATTAATAGAATTAGTGCAGCGATCATTCATCTCAATCTCAGCAGCATTTCCCTCCGCTTGATCTATTGATTCTTTTTTTTTTTTTTTTTTTTCACCTGCCTGGTGGAAGTGTAAAAGCTGTGTTGGAGGTCAAGCTGTGGTCACAGACTGCGGCGCTGCTGGGAAGTATCCTTTAACAGGCCAGAGCAGCCTGACTCTGAGTCCCCACCTGGACCAACTTCACCTAGACGGGGGGGAAGGGTGAATGAAGGAGTGGATGTTCTTTAGGCTGAACTCGCCTCCCTGCTGCTAAAGCTACTAAACAGAGCCCAGCCTTCAGGTTCGGGATGAGGTCCGCAGAACAGGACAGAGCTGGAAGAAACTGCTCAGCATTGGAGGATTTATTGCTCCTGCTGACTTCAGCTTTTTTTTTTTTCTTCTTTTCTTTCCGCAGCCGACATAAAGCTTTCCTTTTACATATGCACCTCTCTCTCTTTCTCTCTCTCTCTGTGTTGCTTCCTAATTGCTGGGAGGAACATTTCTGTCTCCTAAACTGCAGTGTACATTTTTACAAGTGGTATGTATTTTTCAGTTGGGTGGTACTGTAACTTTCTGCTCACACCTCCAGTTATTGCACTTTAATGACTCTGGATAATTGCATCTTATATTTGTTGAAGGAGATTATCTCTTTGGGTCTCTGTCAGGGCTTGTATGTAAGGTTAAGACAGGACTCAGTTGGGAACAGAGCAGATATTCACTCTGAAGCAGTGAGGTCTTCAAGGCTCAGTGTAAGACTAATGCCTGTCCGGTGTGTTTTGACTCCTTTTAGCCCCCTTCCCTCCCCTCGTACCCTCCCATATCTCGCCTCCTCACGTTGGCTGCTGGGAGGAGGGAAACGGGGAATGACTGCTCATACAGTCGAGTCCCAGACCTCCCATTGTGCACAGGCCAGACAAGGTTGGCGGTCATGCAGTGGTGCGTGATGAGTGACAGGCAACAGGGCTGCCTCGCCCACGCTCGGCCCCCCTCCGGCCCGCCCAGCCGTCCTTTCACCCCGACTTCCACCCCCCGACGTGATGGATAAGCCTGGGCCCCGCAATGCTTTCATAACAAGTCAATGACAGTCAGCATCATGCAGTCTGACTCCTGTTGCCTTGCAGAATGTGCCATAAGGGAAGGCTAATGTGTCTGCTTGTCTCTGCCTTCCTCTCCCACACTCACTGAGTCACGATCCAGAGCTACCCTCAATGAGGGGAAAAAAAAAATCTGCTTAAAGCAGCTATAAGAGCTCATATTCTGAAAGTGACTGGCGTTAGACTTGAGCAGGAGAGTTTTTGAGAATCGATTGCTACTTTCTTTTTTTTTAACTTTTTTTTTTTTAATCAAGGCTGGAAACTTGTTTCATCCAGATCATAATTCTTTTTCTGCTTGCTTAAAATTCCAAAACAGCTATGCAACACCACAGACTTCAAAAAACATCAATAGCTTCGCTTTTTTTTTTTTTTTTTGCCTACTCCTGAAGTGGAAATGTGCCTGTGTTTCTGCCCTGAGTAATTCAGCTATAACTCGATCCTGCTGGTACTTGTTTAAAACCTGGCATTGGCGTGGCCTGCCTGGCCCTATCGGCAGCCCTGTGCTTATATAACAGTCTCCCATCCATCCTGTAATTACTGCCTTTTTGGGGCATAGTGTAGTGTCTGTTCCTTCGC